GAGTACTCTTGTGTAGTTTAGTATATATAGGTGTACAAGATCAGACTAGTCCTGTAGTCTTGATCTTGTCTACTCCAGGTAGTCCTGTACTCTTAGGCTCACTCTATATACTCTACTCTTGTCTCACTCTCTCTCTCTGCCTGTTCCACAAGTTCCAACTATGTTCCAGTGCTCATGTTCTGTATTTCTGTTGTGTAGGATAGTTGTAGCCTGGGTCCCCTTGCTAAGCCTTCAGGTCCCCTCTACACTGTCACTGACAACCACAAGGGTTGCCAGAAATTGGCCTGTGGAAAACTCAAATGTATTAGTCATACATAATATTATGTCAGTAGATAAATTAAGAAAAAATGCCTCAACCTGACAAAAAGCAAGGAAAATAGATAGTTTGAGAGTGTATATACTCTATGTCTGTCATTTTATTAGGTCAACATCTTCTACTTTGCCTGACATTCTTTCAGATACTCCTTCATTTGAAGGAGTACACTCTGATAAAACTAGAGAGGTACAAGTGATAGATGTGGACAATATTTCTAGTACCTCTTTGGATGATTTACAGATTTTGAACAATAATAAAGCCTGGTCAATATAACTGGTTGCCTCTTTCTTTTTATTTCTCTTAGATATATCTATTTATTATATAGGTTTCAACACTGGTAGACTATAAAACACAATATAATTGCTCTCAGCAGTATAACCAATGTCTGAAATTAATATTACACCTAAATTTTCAGCTCAATAGAGGTACAGTACAAAATTCTTAAAAATTTCCTTTTTGGAACATTATAATGATATTACTAATATACTGACTAAGTGTTGTCCACGCGAGGTTTACCACGCCTCCAGAGGCCCAGCAAAATGACCTGTGGAAAACTAGTTTCCCACAGGCTCTCGGGAGTTTCCACTCGTACTCTAGTCAAGACTCAAGACTCAAGACGTGTCGACTACGAACACATGCAACGATTCATCATTTGTTTGTTTCACATTGTTCCTCCTCTCTCGAATTTCTTTGTACAGAAAACCATTGAAGCTCTGGTTTAGACAACACTATGAAAAGCCTGTTCTTTAAGTTATCTCACCTAAAGGACCTCCTGTTTCAACACACATCACCCACCAAGCTGTGAGGCGTCTTGTCATATTCTGACCAATCCCGAAACCTAGGTAGATGCATTTTCCTATTATTATCAGGTTCGGATCCAATGTCTCATATCATGGCCTTTTGACATGGAAAACTGAGATTGAACAATGATTGATAGGTTGCATGGTGATTCAGACAGTGATACCCATTCATTAGCATAGAGGGCTGTGCACGGAGCAAAACAAGGAAAGGAGTCTCTAATGGAGTGTTTGTACAGTGAAAATAATTTTGTCTCCCAAACTTTGTGTTCGCTTGCTCACCTCAGTTGGCCTTCTTAGAAGACACCAGTAGCAACGGTACAGCAATGCCCTTAGACCTATTGTTGACTTCAGTTCCCTTTGATTATCAGCGTCACAACGTTCTATGTGGCAATGGAGTAGGTTGGACAGCGGTTGATAATGGTTGTCTGCTACAGACTCTTGATTGAAACGCTCGGGTTTCTCGAATGATGAGTGATCTTCCATATTCACAACATGTGAAGCCAGTGGTCTAAGCGGCTGGGCTTGATGATCTTTCCATACCTTACTGCATAGCCTCAGATGAGTTGTTTGTGGAGTTGTGACTGAATAGTTTGTGTTGCAAGCTTGTCTTATTCGTCAGGCTATTTGGGGGCAGACTTGCTTTTCTCGCAGTCGTAAACTCTTTCTTCCATCAAGCTGTCAAAGGCGAATCAAGACACTTCTGACGTGATGGTTTCCTATTGGTTTGTACTATAAGTTGGAAGCTCAATCGTGTTTTGAAAAGTACCCGACCCACTCCCTTCTGCTCAAGCAATCATCTGGGAATATGCACTCCCTTACAATGTCACTTTCAGCCAAGGACAGCTCAGAGTCTCCCAATCCTACTTTTATACAGGGAGTTGTCTCAAGTGTCATGATTGAACAGTATTGGCAGTTTGCAACCGTGGCCCTTTTAGTGTATGATGCAGGTTTGTACGTCCGAGTAATCCTCCTGCTACATATTTACCGGTTTTCCAGTGATTACAATGGACAGAGAGGTGCGTTCTGTCTTTTATTATTAATTATTTTACAAAATAGTGATGATAACAATCTGATAGATCGAATTCTTCTGGGTATTGTTTCGATTTCATCCGTTCATCCGGTAAACACAATTGAATGACATGAGTTGTAGGGAAGCTCACCTCAGAAGCCTGTCAATAATGCTTACTTTCTGGTATACTACTGGTACTTCTAGCTTCCTCGTCAATACTGTGCTAAAGTAGAGCTAGAATCGATACACTGGTATTTTCGGAGCAATAGCATTTGTATTTAGTAAGTATTAGGAATACTGGTGCATGTTGTTTCATGTTACTTATGTCACCTCTAGCAGGAGTAAAGAACGTAACTCTAGAGATGTAGGTTGAGATATTTCCAATGTGTGTGCGTTGTAACTTCTACATTGAAGTATTTAGATGTAAGCAATGTCTTTGCGACCTTTTCTTGGCGTTGACGTCCTCCAGGCAAATTCTCTGGATGGTCAACCAATGTGTCTAGTAGGTGTATCGACTATTCTTCCTCTCTCTCTGTGCTGACAAGTCTTCTAGACTGGATTACCATAGTGTTGATTGACTGTAATTTTACTCTGTATCACATTGTTTAACTCTCCCTAATTGCTAGCCTATAGATATTCTTATGATTCGAGTCCTTGCTCTTTATTCACATCGTATGTGGAGGAGTCCAAAAGTCCCGCTACATGCTAACTGCACAACAGCAAAACACCTATCAACATGTCTCCTGATCCTTCTCGGGTTAGAAGCAGCTACAAAGCTTGGTTTAATGGTTTATGGTACATTGGATGAGCAGGGTGAGTTGGTCTCATTCGGTTGAGAATCAGAACTCATACCAGGCTCAGTAACCTCCATGCCACTAACGGAGGGTGCTTCAGTTTGTGGCTACAATATTAACGACAACATTTTGAGACTAGCGATTATTGACTGGTACGCAGGTTCTCGGCACGCCGGATATTGACTAACATAACAAAGGTCAATTCCGATGGTGTATGGATTGATCCTTATGGTACTCGCATTATATAAAGCAGCAGAATACTGGAAAATGTCAACGGGGTTCGGGGGTTTCAAACTCGTAGAGATTCTTATCTGTGATCAGATAATATACTTCCTTATGTAGGTTATAGAGATACAACGACTGTAATGGATGCTGATTGTTGTTGTGTTCTAGGGTAATAATGTGTTGTGTTTTCAATACTTTGAGCAACAAGGTGCGTGTCGACAACAACAATTTAGCAGCTATCATTGAGCAAGCTGGGAACCCGTCGTTCTTATGTATTTTGGGGAGCCGTCTACTCTTCAATATGAAGGAAGCTGGAAAGCTAGGGGTAAACGAGGGTACAAACTACCGAACGAAATCTATGAGTACCATTGAATTTGAGCAACCAGCTGGGAGTGAAGGTATGTTTCAGTTTGTTCCTAACGAGTTGCGTGTTAAACGCGAAGATAGAGACTTCCACCAGCGACGTCGGAGTTGCTGCAGAAGACAGTGGCTCTACTGGCTCCGTGTCGCAGGATTCCTCTGTCTGAATGTCGGCGACAAACTTATTGATCAGCCATAAACACTCGGGATTTGTTTCCATGTCACCTTATATATATCTGAATCCTTTTGTTGTCTTGCTGTCTGCACTTGATTTGCTTCGATTTTGTTGCGTTGGTACACTAGAGAAATATTGGTAACGTGAAGCACCTTGAAAGGGACAGTTTTCAACCAGACATCCTGACTAGACGTGTCTGTAAACACTGGAAACGTTGACGTGTGGTATGATGCTTCATAGCTTCTGATTGGGATTACAGTAAGCCATGTAAAGCAACTCCTCGCTTCAATATCAAACCTGTTCTAGACTCGATCTTTAACAGTCAACGTTTTGTCAAGGAAAACAGGAATGATCCACAATTGGGACTTGAGGTAGAGACAGTTGATGTAATAGAGTAGAGCTATCCAGCTTGCGTTTCAAGGTTTCGTCTGCTTCTCCCTAGCTTTACAAGAACACTCGTTGTTTATTTGATCTTATCACCAGTCGCGAAACACAGGTTGGACTTCAGTGAATAATTTACATGTGCATTTATAGCTTCGTTATATGCACCAGTGTTAATTGGAATAACGTACATCTATTATACAGACTGCACGAGTACGTACAGCCATGCGTCTAAGTATTCTGTATTGCAGCATCGTCATGGCCATGTCTCTCTCCTCGGCAACGCTTTCCACGCTTTTCGCAGTTTAAGCTTCTCGGTGACGCGTGCTGGCATGCAGTACACCGGGTCGAGATCTTCTAGATTCGGGTAGCCGAGTAATGAGAGACCTAAGATGCGATATTTCGGTCAGTCCAATCGGTTTCAATTCAAATAAGGTTGAGAGAATCGAACCTGCGACGCCAAAGTGCGTATGAAAGACGTCTACAGCGTTATTCGGTCGATCGGCGATCCCACCTTCCTCTGGGTCCTGAAGAAGGGAGAGACGTGAATTAATGTCCGTAATTAAGACAACTCAGTGTAATGTAGGATAAAGAACGAACTTGCGCGGAAAGGATAAAAGAGACGAGTTTCTCAGCATTTATCCAATGTAGCTTGTTCAGTGTTGACAGGGCTGAGAGAACCCAGAAACTATAGCATACCTATTATTCCATATAGAAGTCAGTATATTCAACATCCGTAGCAGTAGGGTAATTAAAACTTTTCTCACATCTTCCAACTTTTCAGGCCGACCGTTTAATCCACCGCAGGGCAGTTGACGTTCAGCGAGCCACCAGGCAAGCGTATCTACGTCGACTAGATCTAGCCGATCTAGAATGGCAAGCGCACTGACACAGACGAATACTAAACCAATAAGAACGTCAAGGGTTCATAATACGGTATGATGTAAATGGTTATTGTACATACCTTGTCCAGCATGGCTCTCCGCACCAGGCGACGTTCCGAACCCTCCATCGAAGTTCCTACATTGCACGATATGCGCTATTGCACGTTCTCGTCGATCAGATCCGTCTTTATCGAGTGTAGAAAGTTGTCCTAGTAATGATAATGCGTTGACGGCGCAATAGAGAAATCGCGTGTCTGTCTCTCCGAATCTGTCTCCTGCGAACGCGCCGGAGGGAAGTTGAAGTGATAACAAAACTATTTTCCGGAGATATCAGAAACTATGGTGACCAACGACCTTGGAGGTGATATCTGGAATAGGGATACGCACAGTTTGTGACACGTTCGACGTCAATCTTGTCAAGCGCATCTTGAGTTGCGAGTATTTGGATTGCACTTAATGTTGGGTGAACGTGCGCGTCATGTCCTGGATATGCACCAAACGCGCCTACATCGGTCGACACGCATATCAGTATATTTCCATACATTTCAGATATTGCATCACTATACCAGCTTCTTCATCCCAGCAGCTCGTGACAAAATCAATCATTTCGTCTCTCGGTAGCGCGTCCTGGTGTCCCATAATGCATAACGCTGTAAGGCCCCAGTAGATGCCATTGAGACGGAGATGCGTCGTCATGTGGTAAGCGAGGTCATCTTTGTGCTATACGCTGGCTAAGTATGAATGGTTATTCGCCCATAATTAATGGCATTTTCTCACTGTATCGAGAGATTGAATATATTTAACGTGCAGAGGGACGAGTAACGTGTCCGCCATGGTCGTAGTGGTGAGAGGAGAGTACGGCACGTGCTCTGTCGAGATCGACGCGGATTTCCATTTCATAACCTTTATTTATCAAGTAATTATACTTTGGTTCGGCACAGCATTCCCTGACATTGCATAACTAAAGTACAGAAAATTAAACACAAGTATCATTCGAGAGCTCTACTATGTATAGATGCCACAGCGAAGGCTCAAACATTGTATTGTCCCGTGGTAGAATCCGTCAAGCAATGGATCGACAAAAGTTAATGTGTGCTGAAATGATTCATAAATACGCGTTGTAGTCCGTCTCCGTTAATCTATATGCCCAATGCTGCACTGAAAGCTGCCGTTATTTACATCCGATATATTGTATTGAAGAAAAAACTTACGTGTTTGTCTCAAGATCGGCGAAACAATTTCGTCATCCCACGACGCGCCCTTCTCCACGATTTTCTTCACTAAACTACGTTTGAACCGTCCAGACGACCCACACACTCCAAGCCATCGCTTAATCTGCCGCGCATCGTCCGCCGTTCGTCGGCCGAGATAGAACCGAGCGTACCATTGAAACCACCCGCGAGGATCTTGTGAGTGAACCCAGCCGGCTTTCTCCCAATCGCTAAGTGTCTGACCTGCTTTTACGCGATAACGGTTTACGAGTGGATTGTATTCTTCTGAGGTTAGGTATGTGTTGATGTCGAGGTTTGCGTACCAGGATTCGGGAAATTCGGTGTAGTCGCTTTCTGGGAGGGTTTGTTTGGTGACTGACGAATAGTGGCGTCTGTTGTGGTAAACAATAAAAAGAACGTGATCAACTAATGTCGTGGAGTACGGCTTCAGATGTACTTACCGAAAAGCTGTCCCACCAAATGAGCCGGCGCGCATTACCTCCTCCGGAGTCATGTTGGGTGTAAAATGTGGCGCATCTGAAAATCTGATAGTCCTGTCCGCGTCCCTTGTAGGCAACGGTGCACGGTAATCTGGGTCAAATTCTTCCTCGTGTTCGCCTTCCTCATTCTCAGGAATTGGTGGCGGTGATACCCGCTTCAAGGCAACGACAGGTTTTCTGGGTGATCTTCTTGACTGGTGACCGAGGAAGTCAATGGGATCTGAGCTCATTGAAGGAGAAGTGGCGGCATCGCTCCCTGGACCGGAAGCTGAAAGGCGAGCTGACTTTCTCCGGGGAGCAATGACTGTTGTAGATGGGCGTGCGCGTTTCTTTTGTGTAGACTGTATTCTACTGTTCTCCTTTGCAGCTTCTTTGGTTTTGGCTTCCTACAACCATGCAGACACGTAAGTCATTATGTGTTGATACATAAAAATATGAAAGACTGAGTACTTCTTTCGCTTTAGACGGCGCCACCTCCGCTTTGAATATTCCTAATTTCTTGAGTAATGCTTGATTGCGCTCTATGTTCTGGAGTCGCTCAATTTCATATTCTGTGAGGCGGGGCATATTGCAAAATCAGAGAACAAGACTTGTTCGGGATTTCTATATTGTCTATTGTAAGAATTTGTTAACAGGTAGCAGATACTGTAGGGATGTCGCGGATAGTCACCTTATGACGGAAGTTGCAAGGCAAGCGGACACTGAACACAGAACAGAAAGTGGCGCTTTACGCACACGTGATTCGCTATTATCAATTCCCACGGATTCACGCGTCTCGTGACCGTCAGCGTGACATCTCGCGTCTCCTGCCAGTGCCTCACTTCGTCTTGTTCAAACCGAATCATCAGTTCTTCCACTGCACAAAAGCATCAAAACGATCTTACACACAGAAAATGCCACCGGCGAAGAAAGATCCACCCACGGTTGCGGAATCAGTACGAGCGCAGCAGGATGCCGTGTCAGAGGGAATTGATTATTATGAGTTACCTAAAGCGCTGGTCCAGCGAATAGCAAAGAGCTCGGTGCGCCACACAGATATGTGCTTTTACGAGACCTATTAATGGCAACTTATCGTCCTTGAATGTGTGTACGTATAGATCCCGGAGAACTCCAAACTGCAGAAGGAAACGGTTACTGCGCTGCAGAAGGGATCAACTGTATTTATAAATTATCTTGGTACGTTTTAGACTTCGCCTTTCTTGTAGCATGACTCTTACACAATTCTGACAGCTGCAACGTGAGCCTAAAACGTACCAATTAATCGTCTCAAATCTGACATCCCGTAATAGTGCACATGACATCGCGACTTCGCGACAGCATAAATCCGTGTCGGCATCTGATGTTCTCAAAGCGCTTGAAGTCATTCAATTTGGTGACATGGTCGAGCCATTGCAACATGAGCTACAGAGTGTGTTTCCTTTTTCTATGATTCCTGTCTTGACTTAATAATTCCTTAAGTTTTCCGAGAAAACGCAAAGAATCCGAAGAAAAGTGCGAGTGCAAACAAAGCAGCAAACGCATCAGGAACAGGAGACAGTGTATCAGGACGCTCAAAGCCATCGACTTCAAAGGGGAAGGGTAAACCGGAGGCGGGCCATGGGCCTTCACCCCTGTCTAATTCTGTCTCAGCCGCAGACGTCGCTGTCGGTGCTTCAAACACAGATATGAACATTAGTGGTGAGAACGAAGGGCGAGAGGTGGAAGATGAAGATGGAGATGATGAAGGCGAGGGTGAAGGTGCGGAAGAAGAGGAGGACGAGCTCATTGATGATGTTGAGATTGAGGAAGATAATTTCGACTCGGGCGAAGAACAGGAAGAACCTGTTGATCGGATGGCTGTTGATGAAGAGGAGGTGAAGCAGGATGTGAAAGCTGCAGACCTTGGTGATCCTGTTGTTGCCGAATAGGGGTCTGTTATCGCATGCTACTGCCTCTCTTCGTTCTGTGTCTTTGTTTGTTTGTTTTTGTATTAATCATTCTATTCAATGTCCTGTCTCTCATTGCTTTCGTGAACCTCATCCTTCTGATCAGTCACAAGTAACTTATGTCACTACATTCAGTGAGTCAGTTCTCTTCAGTATTCTCTAATGATTGCTGACATACTACTTTACATTGTGGACTACCAGTCGTCTCACACCCACATCAATGTGCAATAACGCAATATTATTGCCAGTACTATCTGAAGGTTTCAAAAGTGTTATACAAGTCAATACATGAAAAGTTGCATTAACGCTACAAGTGAGGAAGGCAAGTCAACTAGAAAACATAAGAAGTGACATGAAATGTGAGTAAATCGTAGTGTTTCAAGGAATCTTACAAAAGTCAGACTTCAGGAAAACGACCAGTAGGAAGAAATACATTGTATACGTGAAGAAGAGCCAGCCCGTACAGATATCGTGACTCGGAACTGTAGATGTAGGAAGGCCCAATTCCTTCCACACTTTGTAACCACCAATAATGTCGGTCGCATTCAGTAATCCAATATCATGCAGTGTCGCTGCTGCAAGCGACGATGCGAAGCCGTCTTGGTCGAACAGGATAATGCGAACGTCATATCGATTCACAAATATACGTCCTGTCTCAGACTGTGGATCAAATGTCGACTCCAGAGAAACTCGATCAATGTGTAATGCATCGGGTATAATGCCCTGTTCAGCACGCTGTGCATCACTGCGAATGTCCACCAGTATGACTGGTGCAGGTGGCGCTGCGTCCTTCATCTCCCAGAGTGCCAAAATAGGTGTGAGGCGACCTATACGTTTTCTCGCTTCTTCGACAAGTTCCCTCGAGCTTCGAGCGCCTGGAGGCCGATTGGGGGTAAGTTGCACATGCTGTTGAGATGTATTCACAATGTCCCATAGCAGAGATCTGTCGTATTTTGTTGATCCGACGTCCTTGACATAGCCTAACCACGTATGGTCTTCCCCCTGTATGCCATTCTCTGAACCCGGCGTGCTCTCGACTAACCAAGGTGCTGGACGAACGCGACCGAGAAACTTCGCATCAACACGTTTGACGGCCTCTTCTAGGAGTGTGGAGGAGGATGCGAGCAGAACAAGTGGCCATTCCTCTTTTTCACGGTGCGGAGGTCCTCTCGCAAGAACAAATAAGAATTCCTCTCCCAGTGCTGTTTTCTCTCCCAACATGTCGGCAATCCTTTCTGCGACATGTGCAAGAAGGGATTCACAGTTCCTGTCCTTTCCCGGAAGGACGAACTCCACTCCAACACGTATATTCGAAGCTGTGAGCTCGGAGGAAGCAAGAGCGCGTCGCGCGACGGAGGACGCTGCGCGCGTTCGCACGTATTCGAGGTGCGTTTCGTCGACGAGTGTACTGTGAGACATTGTCCGACTGACTGGCAGATCGATAACGAAAGAGGTTCTGTACACCGCGCTCCCTCCCCCCGCTCTACGGCCCATCTTTATATTCTTGCTGTGAAGTCCAAATTGGCTTGATTGTTACTTCATGCTTTGAGCTGCCGTTCTGACCTTCCGTACTGCAATCCTGTGCACGATGTTCAAATTGGACCATGTGGTATCTAAGAAGACTTGATTGTGTAGCCTGGATGGCTGAAAATAGTATGATTAGGCGCTGGACCGCGAAACTAGTATCTGGAATTGGCGCTCTCACCACTTTTGGCTTTAAGGTTTGAGATGAATAGAACAAAGCGGAGAACGGTCTCTACGGATGAGTGAATCCTATGATTAGGAAGCCTCGTGGTAGAACCCAATCTCTTTGATGTATGTGTTGTCCGTGGTAAGAAGGACCGGATACTGAGAGATAGGCGCCCAGAAGTTTGCTTAAACTGGAAATGGACTTCTGTATTTGATATTTTGATTACAATGCCTTGTACAAGCAACTGCGTGTACTAGTTGTCTGTAACTCCGCTTTGCCTTGTTATCTGCTGTATTAGCGCTGGAGGACAATACCGTGTATCCAGTTACGTTACTATATGCCTAAATAAACCCAATGTTTGGTCTCCGGCTCCACCCTAGTACAACTCATCCCCCTTACTGAAGCACTATAACTGTTTCTTTGGTCATCCAAGGTATACACTGGCTTTTTTGAAAACTAGCCAGGCGGAGAACCTCCAAATCGGGCAAGTAGTAACCAGTCAACTATCAATTATGGGCATCTTACAGCTATTTATGATTCCTAATTACTTCAAATAATATTATGTCTATCTTTATGAGGATCCCATATTAGATTAGATAAGGAAAGGATGTTGAGTTATCTTGAGACTTAGGACAGGATTGTTCCTATTCATAATGTAGGGTTATTGAATGAGAAATTCTTTCTTAGGGGATTAAGGTTATACTTGCCATGATAGTAGTGTGGAAAGGTTATCTCTCATGCAGATCCTATAATCAGAAGATGCAGTGCTCAACCGATACATATCACACTCAGATTGGTATATAATTTCTTGGGTAATGTATTCGGAACTCTTGTTTGGCGCTCAATGAACATTTCAGAGCCTGCATGTACATATCATCCCTTTTGTCCTTCAAAGCGGGTCTGGAAATGCATAGTTCTGATTTTTAGGGCAATAAGCTACAAGGCACCCGGTGTAGGAATACTCCGAGGATCTCGACTTCCGCTTTCTAGCCTGGATGTGCATTATTTACATCCGTACGGTAAATACATCACGTGCGACGCTAAGACGACGGGAGGATACGATCCCGTCCGGCCATTGCTTCGTTTCTCCCACATTTCTTGGTCCTCTTCTCTCTCTTGCTCGCTCGCTCGTTACTTTCTGCCACCGTCGTCTGCCTCCGTTTTCTTCTTCCACTGTCAGCATTGTCTGCTGTCCGCTGTCTACTGCATGCCGTCCGCGTTGTCTCCACGCTTGTTCTAGCTAGGAAGACACGCTTTAGAACACTCTCGGCTGCTTTACCTTGCAGTATTCCTGCTGTACAGTCTCCTTCTCCTTCTCATCCGGTGAGGTCGCCTTATCGTGTGCCGCGTACACATGGCTTTTGACACACTGTATCACCAGCTGATGCGGATCGTGATGTTCATCATCTCTTAGGTCCTTACTCGCACCGCCTCTTATAAAACCCACACATGTCCTCCACTAAATCTTCAAATCCGTTCTCACCGTTGTACCTCATGGAACTGCACACATTCTTGCACACATCGGCCTTCGGCATGCACCCCTACGTGCCCTTCGAAATCGTCATCTCAATACTCTCAAACCTCGACTGGCGGACTCTTGTCCGTTGTTCAGCCGTACGTCCCCGTGTAGCCCTGGTACTTTTGTTCCCACATATGCACTCACACGGCTTGTCAGGTATGCCGTTTCTGGCAGCACGTCGTCCGCGATACGCTTTCCTTGCAATACAAGATTGAACTGGGCGCAAACGGACTCGTCGATGGTCCCGCTAGCAAACTAACTATTCCGGAACGTCTGCATCTTCTACGCGAACGGAAGCACGCATGGGATACACTTGGATTCCGACGCTGTAGTGTTATTCCGACTCCGGGAGAATGCCACGCATATGAACTTGTTGGCGGCGTTTTCGCAAAGGCAATGAACCCGTATAACGACGTAGGATCTGCATTTGCGCTAAACCCCGGATCGCGTCACTTCACTTTCCTAAGTCTTCCCGGCAAGGGTAGAGAGCCGGATATGATTGTGTGGAACGATGCAGGTATACTCTGTCGTGATTTTGGAGTCGACCCAACGCAGGACCTGATTGCGCTGGTCGAGCAACCTGATGCGTGAGTGTTCCGTTGTGGTAGGACTTGTTACTGTTGGCCTAAAACAGGATATTTTTATGCAGTCATAAACCTTCCATAACCGTCCACTTACGAACAATTCCGCTGAACGAGAGACACCCAGCAGCAGCTGTCCCGATACTCTCGCAGCCTATGCGATCCTCCTTTGATGGCGCGGAAATCCAGATCTGCGACGACATTATCGCGATCCTAGTTCGGGTCCACAGTATTCCGCGCTTGGTCATCTGGCAGTGGACATCGGGAAAATTGCTGGTCGTAAGTCATTTTCCCATGATCTGTGCGAATCTATGGTTACTGACACGGTCACCAGTCCGAAACTTTTTGTTCACAAAGTCTGCGCTCCATGGACGATTTCTCGTTACTTTCGAACTATGCGTTTATGATGACGAGTCGATTCCCTCAAGGATCTATCAAAGTGTACACTTTCCGGACACCAAATGGACGTGAGCCACTCTGCGGGCCCGCCAAGTTATCTGACTTGAGATGTACAACTCTTTACCTTCCTCCTCTCCAACCAAACAATCATTATGCGGAACTTTCTACTCATACCTCCCCGTTCACTGCTCGCATACCTGCTGGGGTACCGTTTGCTACCTCGGAGGATGTCCGTGTACATGTGATGAGTGTCCTGACACAGCCAACGCAACCGCCGCATTCATCCTCTGACTCGGAGCTCGGAAATACCGCCACAGGACATGCAGCGAGTTTCGTCGTGGTGATGCTCAACCGTGCATTGCTAAAATATGCAGATCGCAATTTAGCTTCTTCTGAGTCCGGCTATCAAAAGAACGTAGATATGAGCTGGGATGAATGGGGTCCACGGAACACACGTTGGTTCTCTGAAAGAAGCACACATGCGTGGCAACGCTACGTGCACGGCTCGCGGATTGTTCGGACTCTTCACAATGCCTGGCCGAGTACGCGATGCCGAATGCAAGTGATGGACTTTTGTGTACATCCTTTACATCCACGGGCGGCAGACGACCAAGCGATGGAGGATATGGACGCGGCGGAGCCGGACGTCCCATATACCCATCGACTTGTCACGAAGCCGTCAGTCATGCGTGATAGGACGGTGTTCCGTGGTGGAGGGGTTGAGAGCCGACTGCCGTATAGGGAGGTTACGTTGAAGAAGGAGCTCGGACCGTATTCTGGGTTTATGATTGATGAAGAGAGAGTTATTGGATTGTCGGTATGTTATGCCGCAGTCTTCGCTTCTTTTTTTCTTCTACATGTTCTGAGGATTGTGACTGACGGGTTTGTTGGTGATAGGCTATGGCATTTGCTAATGGAGACATGAAGCAGGTTGACGTGTTTACATTCTGATCGACTAGACTTACCACCTTCGCTTTTTATCGTTTTCGTTCTTTCTCAAATCTCACCGCGGATCAGGAAAAAGGAGAAGTTATTCGTTTCGTTCTATCCAAAACTGACGATCGTCGTTCTGACTTTCTTTCGAAAAATGACCGTTTCCACAAGAACTCCATGCTACCGCTACGTCAACCGTTCCTTAAATTGAGCTTCAGGACGTCGTGATTTCTCCAACCACGCTATTCATTTCTCTTCGTTTTCGCGGATCGGAATGCTATATTAACCTATTCAGTACTTTTTTATATTATACCCTCAAAGTTAATATTTATCCCTGCTTCACAAGCTCATTACTTCTCTTACTTATTCCTCCGTCGTGCGTTCTACCAGCTGTTCGTTCGTTCGTTCGTTAGTGATCAAAATTATTGTAGATGAATGTTATTATTCTCGGACCCTGGACCAATGTTAAATGTAGGTGTACAAAGAAGTTTTAATTTAGACGTGTGCGTGTTACGTTATGGAAGGGTTGTAGTCGTTCTGTGTAGTGTTCAACCTTCAATCAAATGAACTCGTCTACATAGGAATCAAGGTAGAGTGCAGTTAGTTATTTTGCGTAATTGGTAAGGATGTGAAAGGTGATTATGAGACCGTATAAAGGCAAATGCTTTGGTTGAATTTGAAAGTCGATTGTTCTACTTTGTGTGGTGGTGGTGGTGGTCGCAGAGACGTGTGGGTACCACCACAAATATAACGGAAACAAATCATTGACATAACCACAACACTGGTATCTGCTGCATTTCCTGACAAGCTGGATCTACAGTATCCTGTAGACGTGCCTATCCAGCTCGACATTAACGGGTATTACCAGCCTCTCACCGCCTAGATACAGGCCTTTCCTGGATCGTTGAGTTGAAATGTAAGGATAAGTAATAAAGTATGCTATACTTTCCTTCTTCGGAGTACAAACAAACAAGCTTACGTAATTCTGAGAACAAAACCAAAGTTTGGTCTGTGTGTGGTAGCCGTTTCCTTTGATCTGGGGGAGGTCAGTAGCCAAAACAAGGTTGTGATAAAGAAGATTTCTTTTTGGGACCACAGATGGGGGCTTTTATAACCAGGGGTGATATGTGATATGAAGTTCTTTACCTTTCTTCTGTTTGTTTGTTGTTCACCCTCTCCTCCTCGGCGGCTCTGGGATTCATCTCCTGCCTACCTGTTTGCTTCCTGCTATCTGATAAATTTCTGGTTATTGATATTATAAATTGAGGATTGAGATCGGTCGTCGTTTCTATGAGATGGTACGAGTTTGAGTTTTCAATTATGAATGGATATCTATCTTGAATGAAGATGAGGAAGAATGAGCTGACAGATTTGGAATTTTTGGATATACAGTGAAACCTCTCATTAAGCATTGCCCTTGGTGGACATAAAAAGTAATGCTTATTGAGAGGTTATGCTTTTTTGCAAGTAATATTCAGTGTCTACAAGGGTTATGGTAGACTTGAAATGTCATGCTTAATAAGAGGTTATGCTTAATGAGAGTAATGCTTAATGAGAGGTTTCACTGTATAGAACGAGCCACTTGTTACTTTTATGTATCGTCTGGTGGCCTTTCCCGTTCGAGTGATCGTGGCTGCGATTCGTTGTTCGACTTTTTGTGAAACTCCGCGGCAATACCCTGAGCCACTCAACGACGACCCTACGCCTCCGGGAGGTATGCCTGACATACCCACCAACATGGGCTACAAAGAGAGGCCGAAACGAAAGAAATGTGAACAAGAGGTACGATACTTTAATGTGATTTAGCTTCTTGATTGTCTGAATGAGTAATTTTTTTGGATGGTTGTAGGATGATGAGTATGATAGAGGACCGTTCCATGTTAGCCTTCGTAGGAAGCGAGACACTAAGGTAGTGTACTCTTTTGATATAGCTTTATAGATATGGAATACTTATCTGACGTGAATTCTCTAGCGCAGTCGACGTCGTAAGTCTGAACATCGGATACTTGAGACTCCTAGGCAGAGGACGCCGAAGAACGACATAGACACAACGACCAGCCCCATTGAGCCAGAACCTCTAAAGGCTCAATCTCACAGAGTAGACCTCTGGAACCAACCACAACCACGACCGAAACGAAAAGACTTGTTATCACCCGAACAGCTGTATTGGTTATATAACAGAGCACCGGCTGGTACATTCAGCCCAAAGCGACCAGTACGGCGCAAGATTGCAGAATCGTCTTCATCACCAAAGCAGCAGTCCAACGTTCGTATTGTTGACGCGCATGTCTACTATCAGTGGTTCCATACTGTACGCTGCTGTGTTTTGCAGCACGGTCGATCGGATAATACGCTCCGACATGGTTGTCTTCCTCATCATATCGTTTTCTTGCTCCACTTGAAGTGGATTACGCTAGAGGAATGTCTTGACTGGGCTGAGGGACGAGCGTACGTCGGTGAGGGACTTCTCGAGTTTGCTGAAGACAGTAAGAATGGCGTCGAATGGAGGATCAACGAGAAATCTAGATTACCGAGTGAGGAAGAATTGAGAAGGTATATTAGCAGCTGGACCAAATTTATACCTCCGCCTCACGCTCGGTATGACTGGCAGGCCGATAGTCTGGATCGTAAACGGTATGGACCATTTGGACAGAAATTCTCACTTGCGGGATTCGCGACGACGAAGGAGCTGGTAGATATCGCTGCAAGGATAACGAATGCCGAAGAATGTGCAGACTCAATTTGTCTGCCAGACGAGCTTGCGACCGTGCTTAGACCGCTCATTGAGAGCAAGCGTAAACAAGACGTGGAAGTGCAGGATCCTGTCCCACAACCAGAAGAAGAGCTCTGTCCAGAAGGGAAGCCTTGTCCAGAAGAGGAGCTGTGTCCAGAAGTTGAGGACTCGGAGAACGCCGACAGTGAAGAGGGGGATCCGTGTCCAGAGGAAGAGCCTCGCACTGAAAATGGGTCTTTGGACTGCACAGAAGTTGTTGAGGACTCGGAGAATGCCGACAGTGATACCGCCACCCAATCAATTGAGACATGGGAAGGTCAGCAGGTTGCTGAAAACGGAACGGACCTGAGATCAGACCGCACAGCACCGCCTCCTAGTCCAAAAATGGTACCCGTGATGATCAGTCTGGGCCGAGAGGCTAGTCCAGCGTTATCTGAGGAGACATTGTCTTCCACCCCTCTGAGCACCGTCCTTGATCTTCCCTCCACCAACCCTTGCCCCAGCGAGGAGCAGTCGCAGCCTCCCGAGGACTGCACAAGCGAGGAAAGCAAGGACAGCGATGTCATAGAAGTACCCTTGGAAGATTCAGACATGGAGGACTGTTTCGTTATGCAGCAGCCGACGGAGGCTGTATGGACGGGAGGCCTTGCAGCCATGGACTGCGATTGCGACTGGACTTCGGACCAAAATAATGTCGACGACAAGGACGTTGAAATGGCTCCGATCTCCGCAGTCGATTTCGACGCATCAGACTCTGATCCTCGAAAGATGTCGATTGATTCGATTAACCCGGAGCCTTCTAATATCTGGAATTTCTCCCAGCCCGTCCCATTTAACCTCCCAACTGTCGACGAAGAGATGCAGGATGCAGGACCGATTTATTCGAATCCACACCCTCAGTCCTGGGTCTGGGACAATAAACACCGTACGCAAGATCCTTCAAGCAGCGCTATTGAGATGCAGGATGCAACACACATCACGGCTGAAGCAAGACCTGATATGCAATCTATACATCTTGTCATCTCACTCACACCGCCAACCCCAGCTGCTCCGACGCCCGCTCCTTCTATACAGTTCTTATCTCCAAAACCGAATAACGTCGCACCTACGCAAAGCTCATCTACAGTGCCTGCTGTTAATGTTGTCACTTCTTTACCGGGGAATCGCTCTCAGCCCCGGCAAGGCGTAGTACCTTCTCATCTTGCAACTCCTCCTTCCCCCAAGCCGCCTATACCATCACAGACAGCTGCTGTTGCACCTCGCCGTCAGCGAGCCAACGCTCTACTTGCACCAGTTACGGGAGACATCGATTCAAAGTCCAAGACCCAGGCAAGACGTAACCACCAACGGTCAGCTTCGGCTGACTTTGCACTCGGTATCGGAGCAGTAATTAGGGATGCACACGCGACACTGCCCGACTATGTGAGTGACGATGAACAGGAGAGCTCTTACGCGTCAGCCGGTCCTGGACCCTCATCGTACGCAAAGGCAAAGGGGAAATTAAAGGCCGAACCTTTGTTGCCCACGCCCGAATCATCTCCGCCCAGGAACAATATGGTATCATCGTCCGTCACAGCTGAACCCGAGGAATTTGTTTCCACATACGACAAGCCAAACGCAGATGAGGACGTCCACGGATTAGAACTCGATTACGGCGAGGCGGAAGAGCCGAAGAGCAAGCCCCCATCGAGGTATAGGATTACGTCGCAAGATGTTGATGAATTTTTTGCCAGCGTACTATCGCCTTCGCTGGAATAATATAAATGGGATCTTAAACAGTTCGTGCTTGGAGTCTTCTTCTTAATTCTTAATATTCCGTAATATCCTGCACTTTAACATTGATTTCTTTAGCTTATTTTTTTCATTTGTTATGGATAATACGGTACGCACCACAATATTTACTGTCTGCAATTGCCTTGTATAATTGCTCTGTCACTGTCGTCGATCCTCCATGTACGCTATGTACTTGAATAACTACCTATCCTTATAACCAATCATTACGTGGAATAGCAAGTAGTATGAGTCCTTGAGAAATTAATTGGGTTCGTCGTCGAGAGCGAAGTGGCGAGGTTCTCCGTTAATGAAGCACTAATAAAAAATAAGATTTTTAGGACGACGAGAGCGTGGGACGTACATGCTGTTTATGGAAAACTTGACACGCAAACACGGTCGAGTGCAGCGCGCAGACATTTGAACACAGCGACCATGATACCCTTAACATTACTGGCTTTAATTGCCTCATTTCTGCTACCTGCTGTAGTACGAGGGTCAGCGCTCACGACGGCGATTGCACCTAATGAACGGCTATGCTTCTACGCTGACGTGGACAAGGCAGGCGAAAAGATCGGTGTATGTCCAGCAGTTCCCCTTGCAGCAATACCATACTTATTCTAACTCATGTTCCCTTTTTTTACTTCTCCACTAGTTCTACTTTGCTGTGCAATCCGGAGGCTCATTCGAAATAGACTACGAAGTAAAAGACCCGAATGACAAAGACATCCTCGACGGCAAAGCGGAGCGACAAGGCGATTACGTTCTCACCGCAAACGCAGTTGGAGAGTACTCGTTTTGTTTTACGAATGATATGGGCAACCTTGCGGAGAAGTTCATCGATTTTGATATTATGGTGGAGAGTGAACCGAGACGAGAACCGTCGACGAAGCCGGGTCAGATTTCGGATCACTCGAGTGCACTTGAGGAGAGTATTTTCCGTTTGAACGCACAGCTGTTAAGTGTTAAGCGGACGCAGAAGTTGTGAGTCCCGTCTGTCTGGTGAAGTTGTATGTGGTTCTTTTTTGATATTTATGTGTTTTTTTTAGCTTCCATACGCGTGAAAACCGAGGTTTCTCGATCGTGAAGTCGACACAAAGGTAGTCTTATTGCCCCCATACTTATATTTTTCGTCGTCTAACGAATGGTCCAGCAAGATCTTCTGGTTCGCTATCCTAGAAGTTATGGGTGTTGTAGGCATGGCGATGTACGTAGTTCCAGTTCATTTTTCTATATGGCAACGTTCAGCTCACTATTAAATACGTTTAGTGCACAGGTATACATCCTCCAGACGTTCTTCACTAAAACCGGGAGGAGATACAAAGTATGACGAACGAACCCGGGTCTCCCCTTCTGTCATGTCGATTAGCTTCTTTCTTCATGGAGCTGTTGCTTTTTCGGTTCATAAGTTATGTACTTTACTTCGCCCCCTGTCAGTCACCAGGAAACTTTGCTCGGATTAGTTGTTCTATCCACTTCAGAGAAAATCTTTCGTGATTTACTTCTGTATCAAGACAATTCGGGTTATGTTATCTAAGGTCTCTTTAGTACAAATCAGGAGGTAATTCAAGACAGGTGTATCAACAAGTTTCACAAATTATTGAACGCCCGTGACAAGTAGACCAGCAAGGCGTTCCGTCCAGTCCAAAAATAATACAAGGCCGACAAATTCCGCCTCCAAAAAAAGGACAGAACAGTGACAAGTGAAGCAAAGTTGATTAGTAAGTCGAATATGGAGATTCTAAAAGCTATCTCGTATATATAAAAAACATTGCTGAATACAATATTACATATTACAATGCCCTCTTTTATCCAGAATAGGGATGACAGCCACACAAACAAGCGCCATCAGAACGCCTAAGTCTTTGTCAGCCTTTACTCTAGAGACTGCACTATAGGATGCTGATCAACTGAGTCAACATTCTACTATGTAGCAGACATTAATCACAAAGTAAACAGAGCCAGTACTACAACAATCATCCTCTAGTAAGTTGGAAAACCTTAGACTGTCAATCTTTGTCAGTGACAGTATAGAGGGGACCTGAAGGCTCAGCAAGGGGACCCAGGCTATAACTATCCTACACAACAGAAATACAGAACACAAGCACTGGAACATAGTTGGAACTTGTAGAACAGACAGAGGGAGAGAGTGAGACAAGAATAGAGTATATAGAGTGAGCCTAAGAGTACAGAACTACCTAGAGTAGACAAGATCAAGACTACAGGACTAGTTTGATCTTCATCAGGAAAATGTCACATTTCTTGTAATTTCTTATAGACCTTGTAAAGTAACATGTGTATTGTATATACATTGTAAAGTAATTGTAAGGTTTGTAAATGAATTGTAACATTTAAATAAAACATATTAATGTATATAAAGACTACATAAGTACTAAGGATGAATAAAATCTATTACATGTATTATACTAACTTTGTATGATAACCTAAAGTATTATGCTTGTATTACATTTAAATTATAATACTTAAAAAGAGTTATATTTATAATATAATAATGTAATAATAACTATGTTATC